AGTTACGATATTATGGCTCTGATTTTTTAGCAACAGATTTATCATAATATTAAGTCTAGTTGCTATAGTTTAAACACTTCCTTTATGAATGGCATGGTGCAACGAATCTCAAGGTACGATATTTTTGCTGCCAAGCAGGACATCATTTCAATCTGTTTTATCAAAGCCTGACATATGAGAAAGAATAGCAACTTCAAGAGCACACAGACAGGCTGAATACACACTGTGAAAAGCTCAACATAAGGATCAGTAAAAGCAAAACAGAGACGATGAAAATCAGCAGAATACCTGGCAACTTTAAGATCACCATCGACGGGAATCCGCTAAAACAAATCAGCGAGTTCAAGTATCTTGGAAGTATCTTTTCGAAAGACGGACGTCTCAACAGAGAAATTGAGACGAGAGTATAAAAGGCTAACAACATCAGCTACCAGCTTGCCCCACTCCTCAAACATCTTAACATCCCCATTGAGACCAAAGCCAAGCTCATTAACTCTATCTTCATCCCCACGTTGACCTACTAGTGCCAGGCATGGACCCTGACCAAAAGTCTGGAACGTAAGATTACCACCTGCGAGGTGAGATGTCTAAGGAGAGCCGTCAACAAAACCAGACGTGACATGGTCAGAAAAAACAAGATCAGAGAAGGTGGGAACAACACCTGTCCTTCACTACATTCGAAGGCAAACAATCAGGTGGTTTGGACATCTCACTCGTATAGCACTTAACCAGCTTGTCAGTAAAGCCTACTACAGGTAAGTATCAGGGTGCAAGGCAAGAGGAAGACCAAAAAAGACATGGATTCAGGGTGTGAAGGATACCCTGAGAACAAACAATATCCCACCCAGCCAGGCCATCAAACTTGCTAGAGATAGGAAGCTCTTTCTACCGTCGACGCCTTAGAGGTACAAGAAGAAAGATAAAGTAAATTAAAGTAGATATCCAGAGGGTGTGGTGGCGTGCGGTTAGTGCGCTCGTCTCCGAAGCGGAAGGTCCGGGTTCGAGCCTCGATTCGGAATCGGATTTTTTTCGCACCCTCCTACTCACCCAGCAGTAATGGGTACCTGGCTTCGAGTTAGGGAAGTAAAGGCGGCGTGGAATATGCCGAAGGCCCAGGAAGTTGTCTCACTAACAAGGCAATCCCCAATGTCCGGATCGGATGCGAGAACAACTTTACTTTTATACCCAGAGATATTTTACAAGTATAACACATCTGTCCATTTCGATGTAAGTCCGTGGCAACAAAACTGTTGCAACTTGGAGTTACTATATTTTTGAATAAAAAATAGATTAACGATTGGCTTCTAAAGTATCTAAGTCAAGATTTTGGTTTTCTACGAGTTCGCCGCATTGAACGTACGATATATTTTCGTTAGAGCACAACTTTAAAAAACAACAACAATTGAGCTTATGGTACACGGTTTTGATAAAAAAAAAGAGCACCAGAAAGCAGTTTAACATAATATTATTATCTCTTAGTTAAAAAAATATCAACGATAGCTTTGAAACCCAGACCCGCAGTGTTAGTAAGTGCTGATATGTTTTGTTTTCACTTGAAAAAGTTCTTTTCTATTCTGTTGGGCTGGTTTTCTTGTCATGGTTGAGAAAGCCTCTTTATGCGGCTGGAGTTGTTTTCATGTTACTGTGAAATGACGTTTTACGTTCAGTGATTATGTGATCGATGTAAAGCGTTCAGAGCTTATACTCGTATGGAATAGATTGCTATATAAAATTTATGCAATCTATTATTATCATTACTACTATAAAAGACCAACATTAAAACAGGAGCAGAATTAACTCGACACACGATATATTTCGCCCAAAATAACCTATTGAACAAACAGAAATATAAAAGTGTTGCATATGATACGACACAAACATTAAATGACGAATAATTAAGGCACCAACATGAATTTAAAAAAACAAACCCAAAAAACTAAACAACCCGTGAGGTTAAAAAGGAGGTTATCAAAATAAAGGAAATTGTAAATTGCGCTACCGTACACCAATAATCACTTTAAAATAATCAGTGTGTGTTGTGACCACCATTGTGGTTAATAAGAGTGACCACTCGTTTTCGCATGGGCCTCACAAGGTTTTATGTTGTCGTCTTGGGGACTCCATTCCATGTATTTAAGAAGCATTCAAAGGGTTCGTCGTTATCTGGGTTCCTGGCTTTGTTGGCCAAATTGAACACCCTAGGATATTCCATAATTGTTCAATACAGTTCCTGTCTGGTCTAACAGCAGGCGTGGTACTATGACACTAATTCCCTTTCTTTTGAATTGGGAAGCTGCCTTGTAGTATTTGTTGCCCTGCAGAGAAGAGCATCATCGTTTTGGAAAGTTACACGCCAGCCCACGCAAGTACAAATGCTTCTGATCGTTAAACATCAGTTCTACTTCAGCAGAACCCCCAACTTTCATTGTTTGATGTGTCTTTGCCTAAAAAATAAATTTTTGTCTCGACAACACGTATATTACAGTGAAGTTACAAATGCGTTATTATTATAGTAAAATTACAGTAAATAACTTCACTTCTTCTTTATGCTCGATGCGAGATCTGAGGAGTAGTCGGCTGCTGGATCATTAGCACACAATGCAAAGGATTTCTACAGAACAATAAATAATAATAATATTA